TATAAATTAAGACACAGAAAAAGCCACCCTGAAATGTTAAAAGAGGTTATCCCTGGGTGAGGAGTTTTATGAGCAATTATTATGTTTTCCTTTATAGTCTCTGAATTTTATATTGTTACACAGGCAATAAGCAAATGATTGGGGGTGGGGGAGGGGCAAGTTGTGTTGTTAGCTTAAGTTAGAAGCTGGTTGATAGGAAGCATTTTTGCATAGAAAAGATAGAGCTTTGGTTTCGTTATTATTATTGTATTCAGAAATCTGCTTCTCTTTATATTAAAATGACAGAACTAAAAATAACTAGACAGGAGAGACTTTACCCTATCCTTTTTTTTTTTTTGCTTGTTTGTTTAACTTCCCTACTTGACCCGTCAGTATGTCCTTCCTTAGCTTTGGGTTTGGCTTGGCTCCCCTTCCATTTTGGGTTGTCCCCGTCCAGCCATGGCTGAGGAAGTGAAACCGAACAGACTCCATTATGAAAAGGGTGAGTTGAACCGGAGCAATCACCAGAATGGGAAAATTGCAGGTTGAAGCGCTGCTAGAAACTTAACCTATATCTTAGGAAACAAGGCCATTAGATACCTGTGTAGCAACCTCATCTCTTGGCCTGCCCACGCTGGGCAGGGTCAGAGACAGCTGCTTTCCACTCAAAGGTGGGGATTGACCATGCCACTTTGAATGGCCTCCTCAGTCCTGCCCATAATCCAGTCTCACCCACCAGGCTCCGGAAGAGCCCACCAGGCTTCTTCCCAGTCTTCTGTTCCTGGACTTTGAGCCTTAATTGTTTGCATTCTGGACATTGCCCTGCACCACCTAAATGTAAAATAGTCAATTCTGTTCCAGCTTTGCTTTCTCAGCCGTGACTGAACTGTTTGGCACCGGTTCGTTAGAAGCCCTGCTGTTTGCCTTTCTCCCCGTTCCCTTTGTTGTTCTGGGGGGGATAAAAAAACCACTACTCAGAAAGTCATAGAACCAGCGCTTGTCTAAACTCCCCCTGCCCTCCAAAGCCATTCAGAAGGGTTCATTGACCTTCTGGGCATGCAGCTCGCTCCCTGCCTCCATTTCCATCTTTGTGCTCACTCCCCTGGTTGACTTGAGAGGATGTCTTCCCCTGGGAGATGTTTGTCCTGCCTGGGCATGGGTACTTTGATGTTTACATGAAGCAGTCAAGCTGAACCGTGTCAGAACATACCCCACTGGGATTCAGGCATGATTTGGAATTGACCCTCTCAGCATCTTCAAGTGCAACACCAAAGCTTCCACTTTCACTCGGGGCTACCCGAGCTCTCGCTCAGACTTCCACACACCTGTGTGTAGTGTGCATGCCCTTCCATAAAAGAGCACGAATTGGACCGAGACAAAGCGATGCTTACACCCACTGAGACAAAGTGATGCTTACACCCACCGGCAGCAAACGGTGAGCTTGGGCCTCTGTCTTGGTCTCCTAGGGCTGCCTTAGCAAAACATCACCAAGTGGGTGGCTTGAAAGGACAGGAATTTATCTTGGAGAAGGAGCCCTGGTGGCACTGTGTGTTAGGTGATTCAAACTTACCCGTGTTCCTCGGGGCAAGATGGGGCTGTCTGCTCACTATGAGTCAAAGTAAACTCCATAGCGATGGGTTTGTGGAGGCTAGAAACTCAAATTCAGTGACTCAGCAGGGCTACATTCTCTCTGTTAGGTCTAGAAGATACTTTTCATGTCTTTTTCAGATTCCTGACGATCCTGAATATTTCTTAGCATTCCTTGGCTTATAGGCAGATCCTTATCCGATGTGTGTTCCTCCTTTGAGTGACTCTGTTTTGGTGTCTGTTCTTTCCTTTTATAAAATGAGATTAGAGTTAGGACCTGTGGCAGTCACCTAATCTGGTGTCAATTTAAGGATTAAGAGTGTAGGGGTGGAGTCTAGGCTGTCAATCTGGAGAGAGCCAATGAGATTTCTGTGGGCATGGCCTTCTCCTGAGAATTCTGGGAAATCCGGTACTTCCTCCTTGGAGGTGGAAGACTCCTCTCTCCCTGCTACTCCCTGGGAGACATTGCAAAAGACAAGTCACATGGATGCAACCAGACCTTGGAAGACAGAGAAGCCACAGAGAGACCCCTGCCAGCATTGAGATGCTTACACCACCACTGGACCCAAAGACTTTCTACCCACTGGCTTGTGGTCATCCTGAATTTGGCTTCATTGCATGTGTTTCATGAGTCTGAAGAGGACTTTATGGATTGGTATTGGACATATGGGCTAATATAAGATTTATGACCTTGGACTGGACTGGGTTGGGATGTTTTCTCAATGTTCAATTCTTCTTATAAAACTTTTCAATATACTATATTCAATATAAAACTCTTTCCTACACACATGTGAGTTTCTATGGATTTATTTCTCTAGTCTACCCAAACTAACACAGGACCCACTCTACCCCTTTAAAAGAATGAACAGTGTAGTCTTGGAAGAAGTCCAGCCAGAGTGCTCCTTAGAAGTGTGATGGCGAGACCTCATCTCACATACTTTGGACATGTCAGGAGGGACCAGTGTCTAGAGAAGGCCATCAGGCTTGCTAGAGTGGAGGGCCAGGGAAGAAGAGGAAGACCTTCAACAAGATGGGGGGACACCATGGCCTCAACAATGCGTTCAAATATAAGAGGCTGGGGCAGGACTGTGAGGCTGGGGCAGGACCGTGTGGCGCTTCGTTCGGTAGGGCACCGTGAGTTGGAACCAACTTGATGGCACCTAACACCACCACCAACAACTACCTCTTTCTAACTTCAAAGGGAAATCTTTCTTCTCCAAACGAGGCCACATTGACCAGGGCAGGAGTTTAGACTTGAACAAGGCAATCACATCAGGTTCTAGAGAGGCACCAATCTCTGGGGTTCGCCTGATGCTCTCAAGCCAAGCCACCCCTCTCCTGAAGAATAGCACTAACAGGACAAGCACAGGGACAGGCACTGTTTGTTTGTGTTTATCATAAACCACTGTCCCGCATCTCTCTAAGATGATATTTCTTCTATGATATCAAATAACCCTGACTGTACAGAACTCACTCTCAACTGTTGCAAGCTGTGTGGAGCAACAAGTGATAAGGCAAACACTCTTCCGTTGGTGAGTTTCATGGGCTTGTTGAACAACCCAGCTGAAAGCCAAATTCCTGGCCCTAGAGTTCATTTGGTTCATGAGGACCCCAGGTGGGTCAGGGAAGGACTGAACTCCCTATGTTTATCCAGGGTGGAAGTCTTACAAACGTGGATTTTCATGGTACCACTAGGTAGAACCGAACCACCAACCTTTCAGTTAGTGGTCATACCCAAACTGTTGGTGCCATCCAGCCGTCCAGACCTATTTGCCTCTTATTTCTCTCATTTGCATTCCTCTCCTCATATTCTCACACAATGTTTCTTGAATCGGCGTTCAGCCACACATTTCTGTTTTACATCCAGTCTGTTTCTGGATTGGTTTCCCTCATTATACGGTAACTGCCTTCGGGGTGCAGCCCGTGTGATTTTTTGTCTTAATTTCTAGCATGAATCCATGTGTCCGAGGAATGGTTAGTGCTTAATAGATGTATGTTGAGTGGAGGAAGATTTCATGGTGTTTCAAATGCTGTGTGTAATCCTCCCTCCTGTATAATGTGATTTGATTCTCTTCATGCGCAAAGCTCAGTCCTTGGACCAGAGCGCCTTATTTTATAACTTCCAACTGGCTATTGCCCTTCTGCATGAGAACCCTGCAAATGAGCCAAGATTATGCTCCGAAGGCATTCAGACACACCTGCAGTGACTGTCAGCTCGGCAGAATAAATTAATTAGCTGAAATTATCCATATTGGTACCAAAGAACAACCAGCCTTCCTTTAGTAAATATGGCATGTTGGTTAGATGGTAATCACAATCCTGATTGCGGTGGTGCCAGAACCCCATGGCCACCATCTGGAGCAGCCTTCTTGTAGGAGGCTCCCTCATCCTCTTTGTTTTCTCCTCGCTCTTGCCCTTGCCTCTTTAGTCGGGTGATGCAAGCTGATGGTGCCTCTCCCTCATTACTCCTTCCCCAACAGTTCTCAGCTTCATTAGAGACAACACAGACCCCAGCGAAAACAACAACAGATAGTGGCCGTCCAGTTGACTCTGACTCATCGTGACCCCATGGCAGAGCAGAGCTCTGCTCCATAGCCTGATAGGTGGCTGACTTTTGTGGCTAGATTTCCAGGCCTTTCGTTCAAGGCACCAATGGCTGGACATGAACCCTTAACCTTTCAATTCACTGTCAAACTCATAAGAGACATGCAAGTATTTTAAAATGAATTATTGAGAGAATTGTTGAATGGGCCCAGATATCATAAATATTTAAATCTTTGATAATACTGTAAACATAGTCAAATGTGTCTGGAAGCTAAGTTACCTCTTCATAAAAGTCAATCAGAATGTCAGAAGTGGGCGATTTAACTGTCTCATCTTCAATGTCAAGCAACTAACCCCCTTGAAGGAATCCACAAGTTCCATTAGCACCAGAAATAGCCAGTCAGCAATAGGTGGGTACCTCTTGTCAAAGAAAGAAAATGTTTCAGAAGCAGAATTGCAGTATGGAATCGAGTCAAGTATTTGCATGTTCCTGTGAATTTATCAGGTGTAAGATGCTAGAGAAAAACCAGGAAATGGTATTGTGGGACAGTCTTTAGGACCCAGGTGACACTGGCTCTCTGTATCAGACATGGTTGTGTCTGCCCTGTGCTCTGTTTGCTCTGTGCCTGTTATTCCCAGTGACCTAATATCGTGACTGTGTGCCTGGGCTTCTTTAATCTCACAGTTTTTACACTCGCAGAGCAAATTTGTTTGACGAAGCCCTACACAGTAATATGGGAAAATAATTTCACGTGGAAATGGTACATAAGTCAAAGATTAAAAAGAGAAATATTGCACCAGCTAATGTGAACTGTGTCATTGATGTTGGGGGTCTTTTTAGATGATCATGCTAATTGAAAACCCTGCTTTTAAACTTCTGTTCTTCCCAGAGTGAATTATTGGAACTTAAACGACAGCAACAAGAAGAAGAAAGAGCCCAAAGCCAACACACTGAACATAGGAGGTATAATTGCTCATAAAATATGTCCTGTTGCTTAATCAATCACCTGAAAAGATTTTGCAGTGTTTTAGGGAAACATGGCATATTGAAATGCTTTTGTAATCCATATTACGTTTTAAATCTTTATTAATTGGGGTGTGGGGTGTCTGAGTGAGATACTGACTGCTAGGCATTACACACATGCCACAATAATCAGTTTCTCTAGCTAGGTGACGTTGTGAACTCCCATTCGAACACAGAATCATGCCCTTCAGCTGTACATCTCTGGAGGCTATATGAATTTGCCAGGACAAAGCACCCTAACCCTTGAGAGGAAGCCTAACCACCATTCATGTTTCAGAATAATTGCATGTATATTCAATTATGAATCTGTTTCTTCAGTAATGTGATTCATCTAGATGGTGAAATGCTCATATTTGAATATAAAAACTCAGAGAAAAGCTACCATTAAAATTGCTTCACAGTGACCAATACATGGGTGTATGCGTGTATGAAAATCTTAAAATGGAATAATTAAAACAATTTTATAGTGTCTTCTTCCTAATATCAGGCATAATTCCTCAATGCTGCCTAGGAAATATCTTTGTTGTGCTGATGTTAGAACAGTGGCAGTACCCACAATATTGACTCTCATTATTATTCTAGGCTTTTCTTTGAGTGCACTTAGATTATTTGAGTACACTGTGTGTCTTAGGAGAATTTAATATAAAGGCTTTTCGTGATTGAAAGGAGCACATTCTTCTTTGGAAAATGAATAGGTTCTCCCAGGTATGTATCATTTCCAATCATTGGTGCATATTTTGCAATGGTTTCATTTTATGAATGAAAGTTTTAAATGGAAGTTCCAAGGTTCCCCATGTAAGGGATGCCACTCAGAATGTATGCTCCTGTTCTTTTGACTGGACCACACAGCTTCAAGATCTTGTCAAAATGGCTTGAAAACGTCAAAAGCGAATTTATATATTCTTCTCTGATGACAAGGAATATTAGAACTCTGATATATAAGTTAAAGTATTTTGCTGTGTAAAATTGGGTCATTACTGCGATCTATTTCTTTTGTATGTTCAGGATAAAGCTGAGGGAAATTAAAACAAGTCCACAGGAGGAGTCAAAATACCCCCTTGAGTCTATCCCACCTAAATCTGGAGTACATCTCTAGAACGGATATGTGGACTTGAACGCCAATGACAAAAGACCTGATGAGCTGTGGGAGGGCATCAAGACCATCATTCATGAAGAAGGCAAAAGGTCATTAAAAAGACAGAAAATACATAAAAGTTCAAAATGGCTGTCAGAAGAGACTCTGAAACATGCTTTCAATCAGAGAGCAGCTAAAGCAGGTAGAAGAAAGGATGAAGTCAAGTAGCAGAATAGAAACTGTCCAGGGGCAGCTCGAGAAGACAAAGCCAACTATTTTAATGAAATGTGCAGGCACTTAGAATTAGCAAAGGGAAGAGCATCACTGAACTTTATAGAACGCAAGAAAAAATTCAAGGCTCCAATTAATATTTTGAAAGATTCTGTAGGCAAAATATTGACTGATGCCAAAGGCATCAAGAGAAGATTGAAATGATACTCGGAGGCTTGTACCAAAAGGAACTAGCCGGCAGTCCACCATTTCTGGAGGTAGCACATGAGCAAGAACCAATGATGCTGAAGGATGAATTCCAAGCAGCACTGAATGCACTAGCCAAAAGTAAGGCTCCAGGAATTGACAGAATGTCCATTGAAATGTTTCAGAAAGCTGAAGAAGCTCAGGAAGCACTCACTCATCTTTGCCAAGAAATTTGTAAGACAGCTACCTGGCCAATTGAGTGGAAGAGATTCATACTTGTGTCCATTCCGAAGAAAAGTGATCCAACAGAATGCTCAAACTATAGAATGATGTTATTGATATCTTACACAAGCAAAATTTTGCTGAAGATCATCCAACAACAGTTGCAGCAGTACATTGACAGGGAGCTGCCAGAGGTGCAGGCCGGCTTCAGAAGAGGATGCAGAATAAGGGATATCACAGCTGATGTCAGATGGATCTTGGCTCAAAGCAGAGAATACCAGAAAGATGTTTACTTGTGTTTCATTGACTATGCAAAGGCATTTACCTGTGTGGACCATAATAAACTATGGATAGTCTTAAGATGAGTATGAATTCTAGAACATTTCATTTTGCTCATTCAGAACTTGTATATGGATCAAGAAGCAGTTGTGAGAACAGAGCAAGGGAATACTACATGGTTTAAAATCAGGGAAGGTGTGCGTCAGGGTTGTATCCTCTCACCATACTTTTTCAATCCATATGCTGCACAACTCATTAGAGAAGCTGGATTATATGAAGAAGAATGTGGCATCAGGACTGGAGGAAGACTTATTAACAACCTTGGATATGCAGATGACAAAACCTTGCCGGCTGAAAGCAAGGAGGACTTGAAGCAATTGCTGATGAAGATCAAGGATCGTAGCCTTCAGTGTGGATTATAACTCAATGTAAGGAAGGCCCAAGTTCTCACAACTGAACCAAAAGGTAACATCGTGATAAATGGAGAAAAGGTTGAAGTTGTCAAGGACTCTGTCTTACTTGGATCTACATCAGTGGTCATAGAAGCAGCAATCAAGAGATCGAAAGACATGTTGCATCAGGGAAATCTGGTGTACCAGACTGCTTAAGAGTATGGACATGCTATCAGGAGAGACCAGTTTCTAGAAAATGACATTGTGCTTGGTAGAAAGTAGGGGCAGCAAAAAAGAGGAACACCTTGCACAAGATGGATTGACCCAGTGCTCACACATCACAATGACTGTGAGGATGGTGTAGAACCAGGTGGTGTTTCTTTTGGTTGTACCTGGGGTCACTGCGAGTTGGAGCTGATTCAATGGCACTTAGCTACAACAGCCATCAAGTTGATTGAAAATCATAGTGGCCCTGTAGCAGTGGTTCTCAACTTTTCTAATGCCGCAACTCTTTAACACAGTTCCTCATGTGGTGGTGACCCCTAACCATAAAATGATTTTCGTTGGTACTTCATCACTGTAATTTTGCTACTGTTATGAATCCTGATGTAAATATCTCATATGTAGGATGTATTTTCATTGTTACAAAATGAACATAATTAGACATAATTAAAGCATAGTTATTAATCACAAACAAGATGTAATTATATATTGTGAAATATTATGTGTTTTCCGATGGTCTTCGGTGACCCTTGTGAAAGGATCGTTCGGCCCCCAAAGGGGTTGCAACCCACAGGTTGAGAACCGCTGCCCTATAGGGTTTCCAAGACTGTGAACTTTTATGGAAGCACAGAGCCTCATCTTTCTCTTGAAGAACGATTGATGGGATTGAACCTTGGACCCTGTGGTTTTATCCGACAGTGTCCCCAGTACCCCATTTGGTGTAACCGTTTACCATGGAGTCAATTTGACTCATGGTGACCTTATACAGGGTTTCAGAGGCTTTTAAAAAAATCTTTAAAATCCTTATCATAGTCTCTCAGAGTGACTGGTAGATCTGAACCCCCAACCTTTTGGTTAGTAGTCCAATTCTTTCCAACAGTGCTGTAATTTGGTTCATTCTTTCTCTCCTTAAAAGACATTCTATTCAAAAACCTGTTGTTATATTTCTTTAACACTGGTTGCTAGTAGTTGCCAGTTATGTCTCTGGCTTCTTGAGGTTTAATCAAGCTTCAAGCATCTTGAAGAAATCTTGAGGATTTGAAGAAAGAGTTGGACTAGGAAAGGAATCTTCAATATGGGCTCCCGAGAAGGACACAAGTCTCTGGAGTAGAGATGGAAAGTTGATGCTTTGTTATAGGACTTTCATCCTTGGAGGGTTTTTTCCATACTACTAAATATCTAAATTTGGGGCTGTTGAATGCTCTTACCTCATTTTCACTTAATATTGGTTCTCCTTAAATGCAGGCCCAAATTGAATCCATGAGAACACTTCTCTGGATAATAAACACAGCCATGAGTTTTGAAATAACCGAGCAAGTGTTTGGATGAATATGATTTTACTCCATTTTTTAAAAAGAGCCAGTGTTTGTATTGTCCTCTAGGGGCTGTAATTAGCTTTCCCATATTATCATAGGACAATGCTGTCCTTATGGGTCCATTGTTCTGATGATAGTAAGCGTCCTTTTCTACTCAGAGTGATGCAGTCTATATTTGGGAGACTGACATTAGGTTTTCTCCAGGGCCTTAGCCCCATTGCCATCAAAGGAGCAACATGCTCTCTCCTATTTAGAAGCCCACAAATCAGAAATCTTATTTCCCTGAGTTTTATGATAGAGAGCTTATGGCATTCCTTATAAACTGTCACTTAATCCTATAACAAGCTGTGAGTGTACCTAAACTTGACCTACTATAACTTTTTGAGTGAGAGAAGACAAATAGGAATTCCAAAGAGAAAAAGACAAAGCAAGGAGGGAGCCTGGGTGGCAGAGTGGGCTATTTGCTGGGATGCTAACTTCAAGGTTGGCAGTTTGAACCTACCAGATGCTCTGTGGGAGAAAGACGAGGCTTTCTACTCCCACAAAGACAAAGTAAGGAGTCAAGGACTCAAAAGGACCAGGCCATGAGCTAAACTTGGAATGAATTGAATTGATTTATTGAAATTTAGGCCACTTGGCCATGGTGTCATATATATAATATATGATATCTGATTTATAATACACATACTTTGTAAAAGTGCTGCTGATTCAATTCCAACTCAGACTCACCCTTTGAGAATCTAACTGCTCCCTAAGGTTTCAGAAGCTGTGAATCTTTATAGGAGCAGGAAGCCTCTTCTTTCTCTTGTGGAACAGCTGGTGGATTCGAACCACCAATCTTATGGTTGGCTGGGCCCACACTCTCTACACTTTGAGTTCTCAATAGGAATTTAAATAAACCATCTCTTTTTACCCATATGTTTGATGAACTCTATTTGCAGTGGCCAGAGACCAGGTATGGGCACTTTCTAAGTATCAGGGGAACCTCACCTCTCTTGATTTCCTCTCATAACTGATGCTCAAAGGCCACGTCTCTCACCGTGTGCGACATGCTGTCAGTCTGAGAAGGCCTGTGACTGGGAGCAGTTGGCAGCGACTTGTTTTGGGGTCTGCACTCCCCGCAGAGTTAGGGCGGCTGCCCCCATGAAGGCTGTGTTCTGGAGCTCTGGAACGACCCAAAGCAGTCCCAGGCCTCCATGAAACGATAATCTGGAGGGAAGCAAACAGAGCACCGGCCGTTGAGGATCAAGATGGTTTCAGACAGTGAAACCGATGTCACAGGATGATGGTGAGGGAGCGAGTGCAGACAGCGGATGTCCCAGGAAGGTCTCACTGAGCCCATGACGTCCAAATGATAGGATCCTTGAGCCACATAGAGCTCTGGGTCAGAAGCATGCATGTGTATGCCCCCTTACCCCCTGACCTCCCACACCTCAGTGAACACCCATGTAGCCAGGCCAAGAAATAGAATATAGCCATCATCTTCTAGGCAGCTCTCTCCTGACCTTTAAGATAACCACTTTCTTACCTTTCTCTCTGGCTTTTTCTCTTCTGGGTTGAACATTGTTTCTGAAATTGGTTACTGCAAATAAGATAGAGCACCAGGGCCGGGGGTCCTCATGGTTCTGCTGGAAGGCCGCTCTTGGAGCTCTGCTCTTCGGACAGTTCCCCTTCCTATGCTTCCTCCCTGTCTCGCTTCTCCGCTTCAGTCAAGGCACTGGCTTCTGTGAGACCGACAATGGTCCCGCAGAGCGAGGTGCAGTTCCTCTTCATGTGTGCATTCTTGCTGAAGCGCGTGCCTTTCTCAGAGCGTGGGGTTCGTTGGTGTCATGGCCAGTGAGGGTGCTGTTGCCTGGACTGCTGTGGCTCCGAGGGCTCGTGCCTGAGTGCATGGGGCTCTTGCTGAAGTAGAAGAAGGGTATAAAGTGGTAGGAGATGAGTGAGTCAAACGCTGAAGCTAATCTTCTGTGCCCCCTCCTGTAAACAAATGCAAGGAGCTTATGACCCAGCGCTCTCTCCTGGGCATGCACCTGAGAAATAGCGACTACAACACAGATGCAGGCCCACCTATGTTTACTGCAGCCATTTCCATCACAGCAATAACATGGAAGCAACCAAAGCATCTGCCCATAGAAAATGGATAAACCAACTGGGGTGCATTCACATAATTGACGGTTAATAAAAAACAAGGGCAGTTCTTTTAAACACTGAAAGACATGGACAAAACCAGAGAACGTTACTGCTTAGCAAACAGTCAATCGTACAAAGGTAAATATTTAATAATAATACCATTATTGTAAGGAAAAACAAAAATGAAGCAATGTCGTTTTGACGTCAAAGAAGACTACCTCAAAAGAGATGACCACGAGGAGGCCAGGAAGTGGGGCAGGAGCAGGAGAGGTGAGGGTTAGGATACTGAGAAGAAATTTTGCTGCAAATAAAAATGTACCCTTGGAGGAGAAATAAAGAAAAAAAGAGAACTCGTGTCTGATTTGGCCTGTGTTATGGCGTTCTGGCGGCCCTGTTGGTAAGCGTTGGGGTGTTAACCCACCAGCTACTCCTTGGTAGAAAGATGAGGCTGGCTGCTCCCTGAAGGACTTAGAGCTTCCGAAACCCTGTCCAGGGCCACTGGGAGCTGGAATGGGCTTGACAGCAGTGGGTTTTCGGGGTTGGCCTGAATCCAGACGGGCTGCAGCTCCACTGGCGGGCTAGTCGCAGCATGCCATGTGGTGAATGTAAGAAGAATCCCTCCAGACTTCTTCTGAGTAGAAGGGAAAGGCAGTCCCCACAGTCAGTTCACACAGCACATTCAGGTCTTACACATCTCTCAGCCCTGCAGCCAGCTTTCCACTCACACACATTTCTCATTGTTCTAAAGGGTAAATAATGCTTTCCTGGACCGACTCCAAGGCGCAAGTCGACCAGGTGGCCTCGAGCAGTCTGGAGGCTATTGGAATATGAATCGTGGAAACAGCTGGGTGAGTTTTTTCTTTCCTTTAAAAAAAAAAGCCATCTTTCAAAGTTCAAGAATAAAAGCAGTGAGAAGTTTAACATGATTTCTAGGCCTTCTCCCCAGTTACCAGATGTGTCTGGGTGTGCTGCTGGGCTGGGAGATGGGCAACCAGCCAGGATGATTACTGTAAATTCTACACAGCTTCTGAATGAGAGCGAGCCTTGAGTTCTGGCCTGGCCATCACAGTAAAAAATGATCCCTGCTCCTTTGGTCAGCTTGACTGCTTTGACCCTGAAGGCTGGGTTCATCCTTGCCTGGACCTACAATGAAAATAAATGAATGTGTTTTCTTCCTGGAAGAGTTTAAGTGAAATATGGTTATAACATCATAATCCGTCTCTAGTAATATATTCTCTCTGTGAATAGCAAAGCTAAGAAATAGGTATGTACTTTTTCACTACCAGATGACTTTCTTTAGAAAAACAAAAAAACACCCTGTAGTAAAAGCCACTCTTTGAAAATGAAATGCCCTTACAGTTTTCAGTGAAGAAAACCTCACAGCTGTAATGTAATCGGTGTTTAATGTCCTTCCCATGCACAGCATGTTGAACCAGCACCAAAACTTAGGGATGTGTGATTGGGCGATGCATAAAAAAAATCAAAACTGACCATAGCAGGTTGTACAATTTAATTAAAGCCCACACATAAATGTAACTTCCTGTGTTAGAGTTCTCTAGAGAAGTAAAACCAGCAAAACAGCTATGCAAATTTATACCAAGCAATTGGCTCACACAGCTGTAGTAGGAGGCAAGTCCAAGTCAGGCAGATGTGAAGTCTATGGGCTGGATATGAGACTGGAAGCGTATTCTGACTCCAGTGTCCCAGAATCAGCAAGAAGGCCATAGGGTGGTGGCTATAACAGCAAATGAACTCAAGGTCAGCAGGTCAGATGACAGGCCTTTGATGACTCTCGGGATTGGCAGACAATATGGCAGGTTATGGGCTCAAGTCTAAAGAACCAAAGGTTGATGAGTCAGATGCAGGATCCAACCCCCCCCCAAAAAAAAAATCACACCAAGCTTTTTCTACAGCTTCTACCTATATTGGAAGTCTGCCACTCCCTCACGGAAATGTTCTTTTAATTGCATCAGGGTTGCGACCTGAGTAAGGAGTTTGCATCCCACCTTTATCTTCTTGCAACTGATTGGGTGCTCATAGCAGTTGGTTATATTATATTAATCCTATCATGGAGGATCACTAGGCCTTAACTGCCAAACCACTGAGAATCCTGGCGCAACCAGGTCAACCCCAAACCTAGCGCTCAAACCTACATAACAGAAAACAAACCCGAGTGGCACAATAACAGAACATAACAAAAGTCAAAAGCTACCAAGTGCTGGAAATTTAGAGATCACTCTTTAATAAGTATTTGGGGACAAAAGATTATTTTTGAGAAGGCTGTCTTTTAGAACCGAAAGGAGTGTTACCTTGTAAGGAATGAGTAGTGAAAACGGATGGGTGGGTTGCACAAATGGACATATGTTTAAGGCAACTGAATGCAGGCACATTTGCAGCTAATACAGCCTGCATGTCTATAGAGTTAGGTTTGTTTAGCACAGCAAACAAACCAAAGTCAAAACAACCAATTTCCGTGGAGTCACTTCTGACTCAGAACCATCTGATGTGTGTCCCTGCAGAGCTGTGGGCTTTCGATGGCTGGTTTTCCAGGACAGGCACCTTTGAGTGATCTCAAACTCCCAATCTTTGTGGGATAAGCAAGTTTACTAGTCATTTGCTTTATGCACGGACTAAATCTAAACTAAACCCCACTGCCATCAAGTTGACTTTGACTCACAATAACCAGATAGGACAAAGTAGAACTCCTTCACAAGGTTTCTGAGAATGTAAATCTTTACAGGAGCAGACAGCCTCATCTTTCTCCTGATGAGTGGCTGGTGACTTTGAACTACTGAACTTTGAGTTAGCAGCCCAGCACTTGACCCTTGACCCATACCACTTCCGTAATGATCTGTAATGTATGCTTCTATGATCATGTAGAGGAGAGAAAAAAAATAAAACATGACATATACATCCTGTATTACACTTTCCAAATTAAAATCATTGCTTTACAAGAATTATGTGAATGGGATTCATGCAGAAATTGGGGGCTTTGTGAATTTAAGTCGTTAACTAAGTTTATGTCATTTTCCAGTTGTGGAACATGACTAGAACTCCGATTTTGGTTAGGACTTGGAAACTTACAGTGCATGTCCTACCTCAGTTAACATGGCTCTTAAAATATAGAAATCACCTGGAAGAACATGTGGGGATGTGGAGGCCGTGCTGGGTGAGACGCATGTAAATCACTGTGGGTTCCTGAAGAAGACAGGAGGCCCAGGGCTGGCACTTGCCCCAGGCTTTCAGACATGACACGTAGCTTTCCTTAGATCCATCATAGACTAAATGGAGAATGGCCGCTCTTCCTGATGCAGTTGGGAGCATGATTGAGCTGCGGGTCCTTTGTAGGCCAGGCAGTTCCCCGTCCGAGGTGCTTCCCCATGCTGCTGTCACTCGGAAGAAGTCCTAATGAAAAGGTCAGGTCTTCCTCTGGCTTCCACGGACTTCTAGTCCTCCATGGCGCCTGCCTTGGGCCTCCTGCGTCTCCTAGGGACTGTGCTCTAACGATGCCTGCCCCTGCTCTCCTACGTTGCCTAATCATCCCCGGCAACTAGAAAGATTCCATGGACATGAAATATCATGGAATCTAAATTCTTTCTTTTGCTACTCACCTGTTTCTTTCCTTTCGGTTAACACACGACGCTCGGGGACATCTATGCTCACTCTTATTAATTTATGTTCTAGCATTTTCTCCTACGCCCACTCTACTCAGGTATCTGTTGTCAGGGCTACTCGCAGCCTCCACCTTGTAAAGTTCTAGGGCTATTTTTCTTTCTTTTGTTTATTAATCCTTTTATTGGGGGGTGGGGTGCTCACAAATCTGATAATAATCCATCATTCAGTTGTGTTAAGCACACTTGTACATAGGTTGCCATCAACATGTCCAAAACATTTTCTTTCTACTTGAACCCTTTGTATCATCTCCTCTTTCGCCCTCTCCCTCCCTCACACTCCCACCCTCATGAATCCTTGATCAATTATATATTATTATTGTTCTTTTATATCTTACACTCTCTGTTGTCTGCCTTCACCACATTTCTGTTATTCGTCCCCCTCAGGAGGAGGAGGGGCTATATATCCAACTTTGTGATCAGTTCTCCCTTTCTCCCCCTCCCCACCCTCCACCCTCCCCCTCCCCCACATGATATTGCTACTCCCACTACTGTTCCTGAGGGTTTTATCTGGCCCAAATTCCATGTGTGGAGAGCGCTTATCTTTACCAATGTAGACCGGTCTAGCCAGATTTGTGAGGTAGAACTGGGTCATGGTAATGGAGGAGAGAAAGCACTCATGAACTAGAGGAATGATGTGTGTTTTCTCAATGCCATTCTGCACCCTGCTTGAATCATCCCTTCCTAGTAACCCTAGTAACCTAGTAACCCTTCTCTGGGGGGTATATCCAATTGTCTACAGATGGACTCTGGGTCTCCACCCCAAATGCCCTCATTTGCATCGATATAATTGTTTGTTTTGGATATTTTGATACCTGATACCTGATCCTGTGGACGCCTCATGATCTAACAGGCGGGTGTGCTTCTTGCATGTGGGCTTAGTTGCTTCCTGATAGGTGGCCCTATGGCTATTTTTTTTCAATTGTTGTCTTTTTGACCTACCAGCGTCATTTGTCATGGTGAACCACTTTCTTCACTTTGAAGATAGAAAACTTTACTAGACTTCCAGAACACTGTTTTTCCTTAGGCTTCCAATGATCTTCCTTCAAAAGGAAGGGCCCCCTTCCATTTCTTCCCCCTTGGGGAATTTCTACATCTTCCCATCCTTTCAACAGTGGCGTGCCCCAGAGATATATCTGAGACCACCCATTCTAGCTGTGTATACTTGCAACCTTGGTGGATTTATGCATTCTCATAACATTAAATCTTGTCCATATGCTTATTATTCTGAAATTTCTATTGCCAGTTTGAGCATCTTCCTCCAAAGTCAAACCTTGTGTATTCAACTGCCTACCAGTTGCCTCTGTTGTATCCAGCTGTTCAGTGACATATGCAGCTGTTTCTGCTTGATGTCTGATAGACCATTTCAGCCTTATCATTGGCCCGCCTCACTAAGGCACTATCGGTATTTCCCATGGTTCCCCTCGCGGCACATCTTTCTCACACACTACTCAAACTCTTCACTCTGCCTTCCACATACATCCAGTCCAACACCTTCTCACCACCAGCACCACTATTCCCCCACTATTAGGATTGCGGTAGCCTTTTAAGTGATTTTCCGGTTTCTGTGTTACCCACTTGGAATCTATTCTCAACACAATAGTGACAGACATCAGCTCTTACCAGTTCTCTGCCTAAAACCTTCCCTGGCTCCCAAGTTCACTTGGAGCAAAAGCCAGAGCCTTTGCAGTAACCTTCCCGGCACTACATGATCTGGACCCCCGCTTGATCTTTCTGACCTCTCCTGTGCTCTGGTTCATGCTGCTCAAGCCACACTTGTTTCATTGCTGTTTGCTGAGGCTCCAGGGCACTTGGTGCCAGCACCTGCAGGCCTTGTCCTGGCTGCTGTCCTACAGCTTCTCCAGAATAGCTGCACAGCTCGTTCTCCTGCAGTGTTTTCTTAGAACCCATTACCTCGATGAGTTTACCTGGGACACTCTATTCAAGCTTGACACCGCGTTCTTCCCTCTCAATTTCAGTCTCCTTTGCAGGCCCCACTTCTCTCTTCCAAAGCAGTCTTCAACGTCTCATAGACATAACATACTTTCCAAAGAAGTCCATTTGTGCTGCATTTCATTCACACACTCAAGGGTTTATTCCAAACAGAGCATGTTTCAATATGACTCTGTGGTCCATAGACAGAGAAGTCAGGTTATCTCAAGAATACCACTTGTCTC